CACAGTTGTCGTGCATGTGAGTCGCAGCGTCAACGATACGATCTGCCAGTGCACGACACAGGTCGGGCGGATATGTTTTCTTCTTAGCCGTCCTCCATTCGTCACGCTCACGGTCAAAGCCCATAAGAACACTGTGTGCATTCCTGCCGTGCGAGCAGCGTCCGCGTCCGGGGGTATCCATCAAGCGTCTGTGCAGCGTGCTCATCCGAAGACTGAGTATACGCGTCGGCGCACGTGCCACCTGTCCATGCTCGCACTGGTCGAAATCCGAAACCGTTGCGGCTGGCGACGACATGGCGGCTCGTAAGGGCGGGCGCAAGAACGAACTGACCGAGGCCTGCCTCCAACTGGCGGGCAACGGGTGCTCCATCCAGCAAGACGTGCCGACGAGCATGTGAACCCCAAACAATTCGATCATGGCCCCGAGCAGCTCATTGCCCACTCGGAGTTGCATCATCTGTCTAGGCGCGACAAGTAGTTTACCCCAGAACTCGTCATGCGACCGAAGTGGTGGGGGGCCGCCATCATCAGCCCAACGTATAGCAGACCAAGTCTCACAAGGGGGACCCCCGCCCGAGAGAACGACGCGTCCGGAGCGTATGTGCTCTTTCCATGTATCTAGGGTCTTCCTGCACATCATGTCACCCATCGCAGCATCAAGCGCAATATCTATGGACAAGACAATGATGGCGAAGTTGGGGAGGTAGTGGGACCATTCGACACAAGACTGAATGTCACCGGGACGGCGGCGGCCACAGTAAAGGTTAAGCACAAAATACTCAGTACGCCTTATGGCAGCGGGCATGGGGTCGGCGGCATAACCAGTGTAGTGTTCAGTAAGGAACATACGCGTAGGCTATCGCTCGCTCTGGTGGGGCGGCCACTGAACATGGGCCGCATTCTGTTCAGCTGGCTGCGGTGGCAGGGGCTGTAGCATCTGTACGGCCTCCGGTGTTAGGGCAGAGTCGGACTGCAACAGTAGGTATCTAGCATCATCCTGAGTCATTCGTGTCAGCATACTAGAGGCCAGCTCCGTCAGGGGGCCGGCGGCCTCCGTAGTAGGTATTACAACATGACGACGGGGGATGGGGACCTTGCCAGACGGGGCTCGCCTGGCTGTAGTGTCCGGGGCAGGCCCGCTCAGGTGGTAGCTGGCCTCGTACGTGTCAGTGGGTACTAGCTGTAGGGTATCTGGGTCTAGCCGTCCTGAGACCGTAAGAATCGCGGCACATGGACATCTAGGGGCGTCGAGAGCTAGGTGATCAATCAGGTGACGTCGGTCGTAGAATACAGATGAGCAGGTGACACACTGCCCGTCCGTGCGTGCATAGCCCCTTGCAGTAGTGGTAAGCTGCCGGTGTAACCGAGACACATGTGTACGTAAGCTACTGTGCCGTGGGAAGGACTGGGCACACCATGGGCATTCGTACCGTTGCACCGCTGCGGGGACAGGGGGGTCTATCAGAAGGCCCCGCTCGTCTGTGTAGACCCGGGGGGGTACACCTGCTGGTATGGCATCAGCGAAACACGTCTTCTCAACTTGCTCGGCAAGGACATTGCGCGAGTGCTGTTGGGCAGACGCATGGGCGGCAGCACGGACGAGGTGCTTCCACCCAGGCTGGCTCTTGCGCACGAGGTTCTCCCAGGGCCCCAAGTCGTCAGCGGGGGGGGCAGCTCGGCACACACTTTCACCGTGATACGTAGCCACTCCAGGTCAGCAAACAAAAGTCCGAGTCCCGATCGTGCGCGCTGGTCGGGGTGCGTGGCGTCCCATTCTGCTGCAAGTAGGGCAAAGGCAAGCTGAGGACCACTGTGGTACAGCGAAGCAAACAACCGAAGACGTGCGCACCGCAACGAAACCTCTTGTGTGGGTCGATGCAACCTGGCCAGAACGAGGGCATCCGAGACCTGGGACCCAGATTCCTGAAAGCGCACTCGAGCTGCAGCTCTGTAAACCTGCAGTACAGAGCTGTGGAGCAGTCGTGATTCCCTTTGCGTAAGAGCGGGCCATGCACCCGCGTTGTAAAGACGTCCCGAGAGCACCAGGCTGTCGGCCAGCGTTAGCCGTGAGTCCTCGTCCAGGGTGTCCGTGGCGAATACTCGCCTGCGGAGGACCTGGAGGGACGAGGCCGTGGTCGAAGTCCGATATTTGATCTCCGGTGTCAGGGAGCCACACGCCACAAAAAACAGACCCAAGATGCACGTAGTTGGGTACCACAGGGGCCCGAAGGGTGCCTGAAAGCTCGGAGGTTCCACGAACATCCCCGCCCTGCTGGTGCCAAACCTCATGTCGCGCTGCCTTGGCCCCAGGTCCCCGTAAATTGAGGAGAGCAGCGGTTTTGGTGGCACCGATATTAAGCAGATGCCCCCTCCTGGCAAAGGTGTCGGAAACTATGACTAGTATCTTGCACCAAACAGGGTACACATCGCATGCTGGCATCATCACAACCACTGTACCGTCGTCGGCGTATGCTATATCCGCCAGTGAGGTGACATGTTCGGCTGTGCCTGCCAATAGTGATGTGAGGCTTCTGCCGTCGTTTGCAACCAGTGTGGTGGTAAGACCTTCAGTTTCTAGTGCCGTCCGTACATCACGCATGCAGTCAGCCATTTGCAGCTCGTAGAGGACATCTGCGAGCGGCTGTCCCGGGAATACCGAGCGTTGGGGAAGTGAAACTTGCCGAGACCCCTCACAAACAAACCAGGGGGCCTGGTAACACTGTGTAACCTGTGCGACGACGTGCGGGTCCACTGTAGAGCGTTCCAAGGAGGCCCCATGGTCGCGTAACCGTGCGGCCAACTCGTGCACGGCCGCGGGGGGCAGGCCAGCTGCTTTCACGATATGTGCGATCGAGTCGTCGTCGAGGGTGGAGCGAATGAGGAACTCACGAATGGCTCGATAAAGCGCCTGTGTCACGTCCAGGAACAAGCTACCGAGAGCCAGATTGCGAGCCCGAGCTAGTGCCTGTGCCAGTCGCAAACAGTACGATGCATGTGTCGTGCCGCGCCCTGGCAATCCTCCAAACTCGATCTCGCCAGCCTCCTGGGTAAGCCAGGGAATTAGCTGAGCCCGCAGACAGCGCCGTGAAGCCTTGCCAATCTGGGAAGAGACCAGGATGGACCTGGAGCTGGAGCGCTGGGAGGTGTCAGCCTGGCCAGCTTTGATCAGGTCCCTGTAAATCCCCCTTTCCATTGCAGTGGTTCAACCAACGTAAGTGAGCATTTCAGCTGCAGAGCGTAATAGTACTCAGCCAAGACCGACGCATGGGCCCGCAAGAGCCCTCCTGTGATGCTGTCGCATCCCGCAGCGGACCGCTTGCTTTGACGGCAAGACCATTGAAAGTCCGCCAGGGACGGCAAAGATGCAAGGCGTACCGGCTGGTAGGACATCGAGCCGGTAGTGGGTTTTGCCGGGGGAAGGGAGGGGGGAAGGTTCGAGCAGGGGAGGGAGGTTCGGAGGGGAGGGATCCCCGGGTTCGGGAGGAAGAGGGGGGACATTTTCCAAAGTAAAGCGGCGGTGGATTACGCTCTCTCTTCCTTTAGTGCCCTCTAGCATCTGGGGGCCATGGAGGGGGAGGAGGAGGAGGAGGAGGAGGAGGAGGAGGAAGGATGCGGGCCCTCCGCCGTCTCCCCCCACCTCTCCTCCTTTCTCCCTCCTGGGTCTTGGGGCAACGGGGGAGGAGGGAGGATGGCAATACAATGCAATCCAGCGCAATGCGATGCACTGCAATGCAATGCAATGCGATTGCCATGCCATGCCAAAGCAATGCCATTGCGCTGCAATGCAATGCGATTGCAATGCGATGCAAGTGCACTACAATGCCAAGGCAATGCAACGCAAAGCGAAAGCGGTGCAGTGCGAATTCAGCGCAATGCCAAGGCAATGCGATGGCAATGCCGGGGAGGGGGTGAGGGGAGTCCCGCCCTTGTGCTGGTGCCGTTGCGTGGGTGTGTGTGGGGGGAAAACAACTAAAACATTTCTTCTTCGAAGACATTTCCCCCCCCCCCCTCAGAAAAAAAACACAGCACGGGAGACGAGAAGAAAGGGGAACGGGGGAGGAGAAGGGGTGATGATGATTCAGCATTGGAGGACGAGAAGAAGGGAATGAGGACGAGGATGCATGGGGATAGACGAAGATGAGAGACGACGAAGAGCGGATGCGAGGCAGACAGAGGAGGCAGAGCGAAGAGGAGGAGAAACCAGGAAGGGGGACGAGGAGGAGGAGGAGCAGCAGCAGCAGGAGAAGGGGGACAAAGTATGAGGAGGATGGGGAGGAGATACGAGGAGTTGGAGGAGCCACGAGGAGGAGCAGGATGATGATGATGATGATGAGGAGGAGGTGGATGTGGAAGAGGAGAGTATTGGACGAGGAAGGGGCGACGCGGAACGATGAGGAGGGGGTGAGGGCGGGGGAGGAGGAGACGGATGATTCGGGGGAGGGGGAGGGGGATGGGGAACATACGTAGCGGTGACAAGTGTGGTGATGACAACGGTGATGTTGACGATGATGATGATGTTGATGATGATGCTGATGATGATGCTGATGATGATGGTGGTGATGATGCGGTTGATGGTGAAGGTGATGGTGATGGTGACGGTGATGCTGACGACGATGATGCTGATGCTGATGAAGATGTCGATGGTGATGGTGATTGTGCTGATGATGATGACGATGCTGCTGCTGATGATGGTGTTGGTGATGATGATGGAGATGCTGATGAACATGACGAAACTGGCGATGGTTGTTGCTTCCGATTCTGGTCATGGTGAGGCTGCTTCTTGATGATGGTGTTGTTGATGATGATGTTGATGACGCGTATGTCTATGACTGTGAATATGAGCATGACGGTGATTATGTTGCTGCTGATAATGAGGACGAAGACGATGACGATCGTTCTGCTGCTGTGGATGCTGCTAACGATAATGATCTTGACCTTAGCCTTCCCATCGATCTCCCTCTCGTCCTCCTCCCTGTGCCTACCGCTTCGCCTCCTCCCAGACCATGGTTGGCAGCTGGCTGGTGGGCACCTCTGGCATGCTCATCTCGATGATCGCGATAGGTGGCCTCCGTGGGGTCTCGGGCGGCGGTGGGGCGGGGCGACATCAGCATCAGTACGACGACGAATAACGTGACGACGATGATGGAGAGTGTGATGGCGATGGCGTTGAGATCGCCCTTGGAGAGTATGAATGAAGGAAGGATTGGGGTGATGGTGATGGTGGCGTTGCAGTTTATGGCAATTCTTGACGAGGGTTACGATCTTATTCAGGCTGGCGGCAAACATCAGATGAAGGTGGCGATGATCATCATACTGACTTCGATGACGGTGACGATGGCGATGGCCATGATGAAGATGATGCTTATGCTCACAGTGATGGGGATGGCGAGGATGACGAGGGCGACGTCGCGCGCGCGCGCCGCGCCCTCCGCTCCGCCCTCCGCCCGTTGCCTGCCTGCTTGCTTGCTTTCCCCCCCCTCCTCTCCCCCCCTTGCCTCCTGACCTTCCTTCCCCGTCTCCCGGGGCCCGGAGGCCGCGCGCCGGCGCAAGGCACCCTGCCGAGAGCCCGAACAGGTGCTCCCGCCGGCCGTGTTCCCCTCCCTCCTCCTCCTCCTCCTCCTCCTCCTCCTCCTCCTCCTCCTCTCCTCGAACTGGACGGGCCTTCACGTTTACGCTGTCATTTACGAAGCTCGGGCTCTGAGCTTGAAGCACGGATTTCAGCAAGTTTCCCAGTTCCAGCGCGCAAAGGCTCGCCTATCGCAGGTTGGCCTGAGCGTTGCTCCAGTTGCGTTGGGGTACCCTTCCATTTGCCCGATTCCTGGCCAGGATTTCGGTGTAGCACTCCCGCCTCGCTTAATGAATCCTCTGGCCTGCGGCCAGCGCAGGGGGAGGTAGGTCGTTACTTTTCCACCCGGTGGCTCCACGCCCGGCAGCCCCGTGCGGTGCTGCACCACCCGGCCTGCTGCCTCTCCCTCCTTCCTCGTTCCTCGCCTGCTTCGCCTGCACCACAATGCCCGGGCGATAATTGTCACGGGTGGCCTTTGGTGTCACCTCTTGAATTCGGCTTTAGGTGTGTCGCGGCATTCGCGTTTTGAAGCCTGCTCTCGTGGCTGGCGGTTCGCTCCACCGGTTTGCACCCGATTGTACCACTACGGGTGCACGGGGAGAGGCGCACGTTTCATCATCCAACGCTTACGGCCACTCGCTCTCCCATCTATCGTCTCCCGTTTGCTCTCCCACAGGGTCTGCCGCATGGCACCTCACATGTTTATGTTCTCCCGTTTGGTCTCCAGCATGCACAGTGCAGTGCAATGCTATTTTTACTGTCCGATTGCGTTGTTTAGTGTGCTCTGCCGCCAGGGTGCAATTAAGAGGGGGAGGCCACACCGCTCTCTGCGACTTGAGCGCTGCGTGTCAGCCGCCGTGGCCGGCAGGCAGTCGGGGACTTTTTGGAGGTGCCGTGGCCATGCAGGAAGTTTTACCGAAGTGTTCGTACTTGCATGATGACGGCGACGTTGGCGACGACGATGGCAATGACGATTGCTGAATAGGACGATGATGACGACGACGACGGCAGGGACGACGATGATGGTGATGGTGATTGCGACGGCCATTGCGATGCTGATGGTGGTGATGATGATTAATAGTAGTATGACGGTGGCGATGATGGTTGTTACTAGTATGATGCTTATTCTTTCTGGTTCAATATTTTGATATTGCAACGCCAGTTATTGTACTACTAGTATTACTAGTACGAGTACTACTACTACTACTACTACTATTGCTACTACTTCTACGACTACTACTACTACTACTACTACTACTACTACTACTATTACGAGTACGCGTACTACTAGCACTACTACCCCTACTCCTACTTTTACTATCACTACTACGACTACTACCACTACGACTACTACTTCTACGATTACTACTCATACTACTACGATCTCTACGACTACTGCTACTACCGCTACTACTACTACTACTACTACTACTACTACTACTACTAGAGCGGCGACTACTACTATTACAACTACTACTGCGAGTAATAACCATACTACTACTGTGCTACTACTAATACGATTCTTGTTACTCATTTCATTAATATCACGATCACGATCGCGACTATTATCAAGAATTTTCTTTTTAACTACGATCACGGCTACCAGCACGGTTACTAGTACGATTTGTACGACTGTTACGGCTACAATTTCTAGTACTATTCAATATTTCAACAACAAGAACTATTACTATTACCACTACTGCGACTACTACAACGGATAGTATTACTTCTGCTACTTTTACCACTACTACTACTACTGCTACTACTACTACTACTACTACTACTACTACTACTACTACTACTACTACTACTACTACTACCTACCTACTACTCTGGCTACTACTACTACGAGTAGGACTACGGCGGCGACAATGATTATTACCACGACTAGTAGTAGTAGTAGTAGTAGTAGTAGTAGTAGTAGTAGTAGTACTACTACTACTACTACTGTCACTACGACCTACTACTACTACGACGACTTTTACCACCTTTACGAGTACGGCTACTACCATTTTTTCCAATTGTTTTTTTGCAGTCTACTACGCTATACTATACTATGCTATTCTGTCTTATACTACACTCTACTATACTGCACTATACCACCACTACTACTACCACCCACTACGACTACTACTACAGCAGCTACTACTACTAATTCGGTGACGACGGCGACTATTATTATTACTACTACTACTACACAGTACAACTGCAAGTGCCACTTTCACGACTACTACCGCTACTACCACAAATTCTGGTACGACCATGGCGATTACTAGTATGATTCTTTATACGACGGCGAGGACTACTACTACTGCTGCTAGTAGTCTTGTCACCACATTGTTATACTATACATACCCTACTGTGCTGCGCTATATTGTGCGACTACTGCTTCTTTTTCTGTTCCTACTATTACTACTTCGGCTACAACTACCACTACTGCTGCTACTACGCCTACTACTGAGGCGACGGCGGCGACTACTAGCACTACGACTATTATGATTGCTGCTACTGTACTGTAACACGCGATACCGTACCATACTGCATCATACTGTACTATATGATGCTATGCTTCACTGTGCTCCGACTATTGCTGCCACTATCACTAGTATCACTGCACTTACAACATTATGTTTACGGCTGCTACTTCTACTATTGCCACGACTGCTAATTTTATTGCTATTACGTATTCTACTGCCACTGTCATCACTACTGCTGCTGCGACTACGGCTACTACTACCACTACTATTACTATCGTTACTCATATCATTACGATCACTGTTACTGTTAAGATAATTGTCAACACAAGTTACACGATTCCAACAACAACTACGACCACTACTGCGACGACTACTGCTACTATGACTACTACTACTACTGCTACTACTACTACTACTACTACTACTACTACTACTATTATTACCATCACTACTATTACTACTAGTACTACTGCTACTACGAGTGTAGTACTACGACTCGGATTACGGCGGCGATTATTCTTATCATGTCTACGGTTACTATTACGACAACAACTACTACTACTACTACTACTACTACTACTACTAGCCTTACTTGTGTTATTATTCCCCACATGCATAGTGGGGTTCTGGTTTTCATTCCCTGCCGCGTCGCACCCGCGTTTCTCCTCTTCCTCCTCACTCCTCCTTCCCTCTTCCCTCCACACATCTAGGGGCTGGTGTGATGATTCCCTCTCTCTTTTTCTGGTTCCCCACATCAGCACAAGCAGACACATGAGCACACAGCAGACACACATCCACAGTCGACATCACAGTCATCACATACATCCACCATACACGCAGCACACAGACACACAGCACACAAACAGCACCCGTACACAATACCAACACACACAGGCACAGCACGCACACGCAGCAAACAGGCAAACAGCACACAGACGTGCAGGCGGTGGTCTCTCACCGCGGTTCTCTATCCGTCTCAGGGTCGCGGGGCGTGGCAGGCGTGGCACTTTCTCGACGCCAGAGAGGGTGCGCAGGGGATGGTCACTCACTGGTCTCTCTATCCGTCTCAGGTTCCAGGGCGTGGCAGGCGTGGCACTTTCTCGACACCAGAGAGGGTGCGCAGGGGGTGGTCTCTCACTGGTCTCTCTATCCGTCTCAGGGTCGCGGGGCGTGGCAGGCGTGGCACTTTCTCGACACCAGAGAGGGTGCGCAGGGGGTGGTCTCTCACTGGTCTCTCTATCCGTCTCAGGGTCGCGGGGCGTGGCAGGCGTGGCACTTTCTCGACACCAGAGAGGGTGCGCAGGGGGTGGTCTCTCACTGGTCTCTCTATCCGTCTCAGGGTCGCGGGGCGTGGCAGGCGTGGCACTTTCTCGACACCAGAGAGGGTGCGCAGGGGGTGGTCTCTCACTGGTCTCTCTATCCGTCTCAGGGTCGCGGGGCGTGGCAGGCGTGGCACTTTCTCGACACCAGAGAGGGTGCGCAGGGGGTGGTCTCTCACTGGTCTCTCTATCCGTCTCAGGGTCGCGGGGCGTGGCAGGCGTGGCACTTTCTCGACACCAGAGAGGGTGCGCAGGGGGTGGTCTCTCACTATCCGTCAGGGTCCAGGCGTGGCACTTTCTCAGCAGGAGGGTGCGCAGGGGGTGGTCACTCTCTATCCGTCTCAGGGTCGCGGGGCGTGGCAGGCGTTGCACTTTCTCGACACCAGAGAGGGTGCGCAGGGGGTGGTCTCTCACTGGTCTCTCTATCCGTCTCAGGGTCGCGGGGCGTGGCAGGCGTGGCACTTTCTCGACACCAGAGAGGGTGCGCAGGGGGTGGTCTCTCACTGGTCTCTCTATCCGTCTCAGGGTCGCGGGGCGTGGCAGGCGTGGCACTTTCTCGACACCAGAGAGGGTGCGCAGGGGGTGGTCTCTCACTGGTCTCTCTATCTGTCTCAGGGTCGCGGGGCGTGGCAGGCGTGGCACTTTCTCGACACCAGAGAGGGTGCGCAGAGGGTCGTTTCTCATTGGTCTCTCTATCCG